CTCTCTCTCTCTCTTTCTTCTTTCCTTTCCTTTCCTTTCCTTTCCTTTCCTGTTTCTTAGAGTATAAATTCTCTCTTCTAGTTATAGACCTAGTCAGAGTATTAAGCTCTTACTAGTGTTAATTCTAGTCCTAAACATTTAGGGTCTCTACTATATGTTAACCTTCTAGTTATAAACCTAGTCAGAGTATTAAGCCTTTACTAGTATAAACCTTCTAGAACCTAGTTAGAGTATCAAGCCTCTACTAGTGTCAAACTTTTAGGACCTAGTCTAAGTATTAAGCCCTTACTAGTGTTATTTCCAGTCTAGAACATTTAGAGCCTCTACTATACATTAATTTCCTTCCTTTCTTATTATGTTGTGTCTAAGAGTATAAAGTCCCTTTCCTGTCCTGTCCTGTCCTGTCCTGTCCTGTCCTGTCCTGTCCTGTCCTCCTTTGTCCTTCTAGTATAAACAGACCCTCTATTGTCTTTATACACTCTGTTTTGCCTAACTACTACTAGAACTTTTATTACTCTAGAACTAGTGTGTCAAATTTGTCAGTCATATCTTCTACCTCCTCCTAGTACTAACACATACCTAAGAATGACTGTTTATATCTTAATCATGTGTCTTACAGTAATACTATGTACCTTTGTGATAGAATGTGTTTTCTTAGGTTATCACACAAGTAATGAGAGTATAGACTCTAATAATAATGTGTATTATGTATCTGATACATATTTCTTAGTTCTGTATCTGTTCTGTTAATTCTGTGTCCATTCTATTTGTATGTGTATTAATTGTTTTACTAATACTGTAGTGTCCATAATTGTATCATCAATTGTAATACATGTTAACTGTCCCCTTCAAACATTTACAAGACCTATTAAGTCTGTAAGGTGTTTGATTTTTGGAACATGTAGTAATTTAGTTAGGATGTCTACCCTTTGATTGTCTGTTTAAACATATTTAATATTAATAAGTTGTTCCTCAACATAACATTTAATAAAATTGTGTTGTAAGCCAATATGTTTGGTTCTTGTTGAGTATTTTGTTTTTTCCACTTCTATAGATTTAATTACTGCTTGATTATTGTAATAAATATTTGTAGGTGTATCAGAGATCTGTAGTATCTCATCTGCTAGGTATTGTAATACTATAGCTTCTTGTATTCTGTTTGATAGTGCTATTATTTCTGCTTCATACATAGATAAGGATACTAGTTTTTGTCCTTTACTTGACTAAGATATGAGCAATTCTCCTAAGAAGAATGTGTATCCAGATATTACTTTATTATTTTCTTGCATCATTCTGTCTGCATCCATATAACTAGTAATATT